CGGACGCTTAACCGACTGAGCCACCCAGGCGCCCCAAGATTTTACTTTTAAGTAATCTCTATACCCAACATGTATACCCAAGTGCCTCTGGATAACTTTAAATGAATATTATTTGTTACAAAAGCATTTTATTGGAAATTGAAAGCATGAAATTGACCTCATATTTCTACCATACTAACAAATAGAAATTTTTTCCTTTGCATTTTGGCTTTTCTATAGTTTATCATAAGTATAATGAAGGCATATTTATGAAAAAGGTGCTCGACCATGTTTAATAATGAATTCTTCATAAGGAATTGGGATACTCTGGCTATATTTCTTTAGCAAATAATGGACAAATTGATTTCATTGTAAAATAATTATAAATTAATAAAATTGCAAATAAATAAAGTTGTTTAAAGGGGTATCGATATAAGTTTTGATTTCTATACTCTTCCTTTTTTGTGACTAGTAAAAACCAAGGGAGAAGATTTTTAAATATTTGATGGTTTACTTGCTATTTTGCCCTGAAAGATTTTTGATTCCCTTCAAAAGGGGATTATAAATTGACTTTACTTTACAACTGTTTTTTAGAGCTTCTTGTTTTTCTACTTTTTTCAGTTTTTGTAGTTGACACATAATGTTACATTAATTTCAGGTGTACAACATAGTCATTCAACAACTCTGACTCTATACATTATGCTATTCTCACCACAAGCATAGTTACCATTTGTCACCATACAATTGTTTTTCTACTTTTTAAAAAAGTTTATTTTGAGAGAGAGTGTGCACGTGCACATGCAGGAGGGGCGGGGAGAGGGCGGAGAGGGAGAGAATCCCGAGCATTCTCCACACTGTCAGCATGGAGCCTGATGCGGGGCTTGAACCCACAGACTGGGAGATCATGACCTGAGGTGAAACCAAAAGTCGGATGCTTAACCGACTGAGCCATCCAGATGCCCCTGTTTTTCTACTTTGAATGGGAGAAAGGAGGTAAAGTTTTCAGTGTATAGGACTAAAGAAAAATATGGTTAGAGGTATTCACCTGACCACTAACTCCCCCTGACCCCCAAATTCCTCCTCCAGGAAAGGAGGCTATGGTAATAGCAAATGAGACTACTTGTGGTTGACAGTTCTTGTTAGACTGCCATTTTATGTATGTACATATGTAATTATTTAAGTTTGAATTCTGATGAAAATAGAGGAGAAAAGATCTAGATTTGGGTAGAAATTTCTCTGACAGTAGGATATGGATAGAACTTAATTTTATATTAACTATTATTCTTTACCTGTTGCCCTGAGATTGAATTGCCTATAATCTGAATATATTTAGAAAAATCTGTGAAATTTGCTGGTGAAATAAATGGTTAATTTAGTTTATATCCACTTGCTGGAGTTCAATGCTGTCCTTAAAAATAATTTTGGAGACTTTGGTAGCATGAGAAAATACTTTAAAAAGTGTTTATGGGGGAATCAGAATACCACATGATGTGCACTGTGGATGCAAATATGTAAAATATGTAGACATGTAGAAAAAGATGGGAAGGAAATGTTTAAAGCAGTAGTTACTGTAGTGGAGTCCAGGTTAACTTTTTTCTACTTTTAGTATTGTGTTTTTGTGAAAGTAAAAGGAAAAAAACATGCTAGAGAAAAGCATCAAAAGTGTATTTTCTCATCATTATTGATACTTATAATTCTGAGAAGTAGGAAATATAGAAGTCTTCCCTCAGAGGGTCTTTTATGTTCGAGAGATTGTGTTCTCACATTCCTTCTTTTATGTTCAACAGATTTCCAGCAAGCTCTTTATGAGTTATCATACCATGTCATTAAAGGAAATCTAAAGCATGAACAGGCATCTAATGTTCTTAATGACATTAGTGTAAGTATATATACATATGTTTTCTATTTTAATAATTATTACATATTTGTTTTTAAAAAAAATTTTTTTTAATGTTTATTCTTGGGAGACAGAGCACGAGCGGGGGAAGGGCAGAACGAGAGAGGGACACAGAATCTAAAGCAGGCTCCAGGCTCTGAGCTGTCAGCATAGAGCCCGACGTGGGGCTGGAACTCACGGACTGTGAGATGATGACCTGAGCCAAAGTCGGACGCTTAACTGACTGAGCCACCCAGGTGCCCCACGTATTTTGCTTTTGATACAAAGATCTCTAAAGTGTAAAACTTGCGTTTCATTTTATTCAAAATTATAGTAATGTTTTAAGGCAGTATTGGTAAGCCGTTGTTGCTAGGCGGAACTAAAGATATTTTAATCTTTTTGTCTCGTTGCGAGTACAGCAGAAAATGTTAGGTTAGCTGGGAGGGCAAAAAAAAAAAAATCCTGCATTATAATGAAATCAAGGTATACCTAATTAAAAATGCTACTATAAAAATAATTTGGCTAGAATATTTTTCTCCCAATATAGCATAGCAAAGCATTTTCTTTTGTTTGTGGTTATGTTTAGATATTAAATATATTTTTAAAACTTGAGGATTAAAATTATTTTTAGAGAGAGATCGAATGTGGGGAGGGGTGGGAGGGGGAGGGAGAAGAGAGAG